AGTAAACACTGTAGAATTATTGTGTTTGTGTATAACTCATTTTGATTTTATTACTACCGACCGCATTGTTTACAATAAGGAAGGTCATGCGATGGAACCAAATTTTGTATATGGAATTTTTAGTGAACACACACTTCTCCACGGTAGAATTGAGTAAATAAATTATTTTTAAGAGAGATGATAATTTATCGGCCTGTGTGTGCGCGCGTGTATTTCATGTTTAATTGAAATGATTTTGATGAAATTTTATGTGTGAGTTTATTATGGTTATGTTCCAATTTCGCACATATAAAGAAAACAGTTACCCAATTTTATTTAAATTTAATGTTTAAATTCGGGGTGTTAGCATAATGAACGTTTAAAATTTTCGGCAATAGCAGGGCTGGGAAGCCGGACTAGGGTTCGATTTTACATTTTTTACCAATCTCCTGATCTGAGTTCTGGTTGTTACCGAAACTAACAGACGAACTTTTTAAGGAATTCGGATGACACAAAGCGAAACTCTACTAAGAGCCAAATTTACTATTTACTATTTACATATTTCTAGGTACATATATTAACTAAATGCTTACTAACTTTCTTAAAATTTGAAAGTATGTTTTAAAATCATTTTCATAATTTCTTTAACAGTTTCACTAAAATACACAATACACATTGCGGTCAGTTCTATGCTGATCACATCAAATTTTTTATACATATATGGTAATAAAATTATTTATCTGTTTACTTTAAAAAATTCATAAAAACTCTGTACAATATTCGTTTTACTCTCAGTTTATAGCCGAATTTCGTTCAGATTTTTACTGTTAAAAAATTTGAAATATTTGAAATTTAAAAATTGTATTTGATTAATTATACATACCTACATACATACATTCTTAAACAATAAATCTTAAAATTTTAAATTATAGAAAAAAAATTGAATTAAAAATTAATTGTTTTTTTTTTATTACATTGTTTTTTGAATTTCAAAACCATAAATATGTTTAAGTGTAAAACAAATTATGATGCTGAACAAAAAATTTGGTATGGGCCAAAAATACAATCTAATTCTAATATTGACAATAAATCAGCTGGTGAATTTATTTTATCTATATTAGAAGAAGTACCAGATAAGGTTATACAGGTGAGATAAATTTTTAGTGAGCCAATTTTTCGTATTTACTCGTAGCTTCTCAAATATACTTTAGTAAATTGTGACTGAGTTTATTTGAGTGCGTGAATATTATATATTAGTTAAAATTTATTTAGGTAATCATTAAATTATGATGTGAAATGAAAGGTACGGTATATTAAAAATAAATGTAGGTATATTAATTTTGTAAAACAAAATTATCTCAATACTAATTTTTATATACACTGAAAAAGTAGTATAAAGTTGTATAAACATTTAATAAATATATACATATATTGAATTTATTAACATATCTCTTTATTTATTAGAAGTAATATTTATACACTTTATTTAATGTTGTAGTTGTTATCATTTTGATTAATTTGAAATATTTATTTTAAATAATCTGAAGAAATCTTTTATCTTTTAATTAATTTGTGATTCAATTGCCAGTGTCAATATCATACTTTTGCCGTTTGACATTTAAGTATTTGCTATTATAATTGTTAATTAATTATAAAATCGAATACTTAATGTTGTTTAACTGTGCAATTGTACTTAACATTATAGTGAATATTATAGTACTGACAGACATATAAGATCGATAGTATGATATTTTCTGTGTTAGATTAATATCAGACGTGTGTCTGCTACTTCGTAATATTATTAAGTATTATTAATATGTATAAACTCAACATCAATGCATACTATATTCAATAGACTAATATTATAATTCACAATACCGATTTTGTCTTTCATAGCATTCTGGTGACAAATATTTTAATAAATTTTTCAACTTGAAGTTTTCAACATTGAATTATTCACCGCAAAAAAATACAATACATTTATACATTCATTTTCAAAATTTTACTTCAAAAAATTATAACAACAAAATTTGAATACTAAGCTTATGTCTGTCACTGATTTTAATGCTATACATATTTATAAAATTATAATATTCATATTATAACACACAATTATATTTCACAATAATTATAAAACTAAAATTTATAAATTTTAAAATGAAATTAATGAATTTCAGCAGTGAAGAAGTTTTTAGTTTTACTGTACGGCGATATCATCCGTACAAACTTGCATCGATGTGTATGTATTAATAATAATATTGTACTCTAAAAGTTTTAACTCCAATTTTTTCTCTTTGGCTTGTATATTTAATTTCAGATTAGTGCAAATAATGGAATACAAATCACTGGTAAACAAATGCATACTCTTAGTATAAGAGCATGTCAAAATCTTCAACTAAATCGTTTGAAACAAAATGATATTATTGGAATTGCAGCTAGCAATAGTCATTATTTAGCTCCAATAGTTTTTGGTTCATATTTATGTGGAACAACACTTAGCACATTAGATCCATCTTTTAGAAAAGGTACTTGCACTTAAAAATTACATCATGTGTAATGTTCTTAATAAATTTTTATAATTTTTTGTATTTACTTGCACTTATGTACATAAAAATTTAAATTTTTTAGATGAAATAAAGCATATTTATTCATTTACAAAACCAAAGATAATATTTTGTGATCCTGAGAATTACGAAGCTATGAAAGATAGCAACGCTGAATTGAATCTGAATGCCTCAATTTATTTGATGAAGGGTAATGTAGAAGGAGTAGAAACAGTTGATGTATTTTTAAAATCAACCGGGAAAGAGTTAAATTTTGTGTAAGTAATTCAAGCCATAAATTCTTTTGTGTTTTAGACCATAAATTCTTTTGTGTTTTAGTCCCCCTAAATTACAAGATGGAGGTGATCAAGTTGCAACTATATTATGTTCATCAGGAACAACAGGATTACCGAAAGGTGTTTGTATGTCACATAGAATGTTATTAAGACTAACTGGTTTCACGTAACTTTTTAACAATTAATTTTTAGTTTTTGTTTACTAAATAAATTTTTCTTAATAGAACTTTGACAGAAGATGACGTTTTCATGTCTTATAGTTCGTTATATTGGTTAAGTGGATTAATTACGGTAATTGTAAATTATTTTTGTAATTTAATATTAATTAATTTAATCAAATTTTGTACTCGTATATGATTTTCAATATAGTTAAACCTGGGAACGATGAACAAATGTTTACGTGTTATTATAGATGAACCATTTTCAACTGAAACCTTCTTTGATATTGTTGAAAAATATCGTGTAACGAATTTAATAGGTCCACCATCACAATTAGGTTTGATAACGCAAAGTTCTGAATTAGAAAAACGTGATTTGTCTAGTATAACAAAATTTAATTCTGGAGGTAGTACTGTACCAGCATCATTAATAAAAAAATTTGAAGAATATTTACCAAATGGGTCTGTGTATGTTTCATATGGGATGAGTGAAATCGCTTCTTGCTCAAATATGGAATTTATAGAATATAGGCGTAGTGGTTCAGTTGGACAAATGATGCCAAATACTGAAGTAAAAATTTTAGATTTACATGGTAAACAGTTGGGAGTTGGCGAAGAAGGAGAAATTTGCATCAGAATAGACGTTAAATGGCCCGGTTATTTTGGTAATGACAAAGCCACAAGTGATATTTATGATGAAAATCATTGGATAAGTACCGGTGATATTGGATATTTTGATAACGACGGTTATTTATTTGTTGTAGATAGAAAAAAAGATATATTAAAATATAAAAATTTTCATGTTTCTCCTACCGAAATTGAAGAAATTATATTAGAATTACCAGATGTAATAGAAGTTTCTGTTTGTGGTGTACCAGATATTGTGTATACGGATTTACCCGCAGCTTTGGTTGTAAAAAAACCAGAAAGTAATTTAACATCAGATGATATTTTAAAATTAGTTGAAACGAAATTGGCTGATTTTAAAAAATTACGAGGCGGAGTTTATTTTGTTAAGGAGCTACCAAAAACAGTATCAGGCAAAATTCAGAGAAATAAGGTGAAAGAAATGTTAATTCATTATTCAAGCAATAAGGGTTCTGGAACCAGTTGTTGAAAATTAAAATTTAAACTTTAATTTATGTTTACTTTAATTACGTTTCTATTTTTTAATTGGTTTTTAATAAAGAAAAAAAAATAAGTAAAAAACTATTAATGTAGACTAAAGTGTAACTAATAATGCAGATATAAAGTATTTATGTATGATGCAAGTTTATACTATTGAAATTTTCTTGTAATAAAAACTAATTGTGTAAATATGTTAATAGCGCCATCTCTTAGTCAAAGTTATACTTTACATTGAAAAACAACTTTGTTTTATGAAAATTATCATGTACACAAAATCACTAATATATTGGTTTGAGTTCGTGATAACGTAATTTTTTTGGTATATTTTTTTCATATTAATTGGAGTTGATCAATATTGTCTTATGGCCCCAGAGTTTTATGGCCAAGATATTATTTGAATTTTTTTACTACAGCCTGATATAGGATCCTTACTAATTTTCAATTTCACATCAAGCTGATTCTATATTTCTTTATGTTTTATAGTTCCTACCAAAATTTATTCGATTTTTCTGTAATAAAAGCATGACAAACAGTAAAAAATTGTATCTTATTTTAAGAGTTGGATCTAGATTTTAAACTCATCCGAAATCTCTCAAAATTAGTTTAAATTTGAATTAATTATAGTTAATGTTTTTTCAAGATTCTGAACTAGATAATAAAACACGGAATGGTTGTATTATAATAAAGGGCAAAGGATAAGTATTTCTTATATTCTACACTATGTTCACTTGTATTTTTCTAACTAAGATCAAATTCTTATAATTTAAAATATTTATGTGGGGTGTATCTGTTTTTAATTTGATCGAAATTTTTCAAATATAACAATTATGTATGTATATTAAATTAAGAAAAAATATAACAAAAAATAATAAAGAAATATTAAAATATAAAAATATTTAAATTGTCGTTTTATTTTTAACCTTATAAAGTTCTTCTAAGATCAATTTGACTTTTTTTCTTAAAATTTTTCCAGATGAAGCTTTTGGAAACTTCTCAAGAAAATAAACACCACCTCGTAAATGTTTAAAATGCACCATATTCTTTTCAACATATTTATAAATATCATCTTCTGTTAAATTACTTTCACATCTTTTAATAATAGCTGCTGCTGGTAAATCTGTTGCAATTACATCCGGTATTCCACATACACAAACTTCTAAGACATCAGGTATTTGATGGATAATATTTTCGATTTCATTTGGATAAAAATGAAAATTTTTATATTTCATGATTTCTTTTTTACGACCTGTTAAAAAAATAAATCCATCATCATCGAAATAACCAACATCTCCAGTTCTAATCCAACCATCTTCTGTATATACTTCTGTTGTTTCAGTAACATTATTGTAATAACCAAACCATCGGCAACGATTATGTGCTAATATTTCACCATTTTGATTTGGACTCAATATATTACCATCCTCATCAACAATTTTTAACATAATATATGGAATTACTTTACCAACAGAACCTGTTCGATTTTCAGAATATGTTTCTCGACAAATTATATTTCCAACTTCCGTAATACCATAACCATTTAAAATTTTACCATTTGCTAAATAATCTTTCATTTTATTAGCTACATTTAATGGTAATGCACTACCAGAAACAAACCATGCACGTACTGAAGTTAAATCAAATGTTTTAATCTCTTCACTTTCAACAGTTAACGCAATTTGACTTGGTGGTGTTAAAAGAAAATTAACTTTATATTTTTCAATAATTTCTAAAATTAATTTTGGATTAAATTGTTGATGAGTTATTATTCGTTTAAATCCACGTATTGCACATAATAATAATGACCATAAACCGGAAATCCAATAAATTGTACTAAAACAAGTATATACATTAAAAGGTGTAAATGAATCGTTAAAACTCATAATATTGTGAATCATTGAACGATGAGAAACACAAACACCTTTTGATAATCCTGTTGTTCCAGATGAACAAATAATTGCAAATGTTTGATCACTACCAAGATTTAATCTACTTGGTCTAAAATTAAAAAAAAAAACAAAAATGCAATTTAAAATATAATAAAATTTATGAGTAAAATTTTTTTAAATTATTTACTAAGTACAAGTCTAGTTGAAATAGATTCAAATTAAGCTATTTAACTAACAAATACTAATTTAAATACTGAAATTGTAGCAATCACCTATAGATAATAAAGAAAGATGTATAAAATCGTAAGTTTTTTGAATCAGTAATAGATTTCTTGTTAGTGCTTAGTAAATAATTAATTTAAAAGAATGATTAATATTTAATTAAATTGAAAATTTTTAAAAATTATATTTTTGAAGCGTAATGTAATTAAGGAATTTTGCAAATATAACAATTAAGACTATAAAATTTTAGTAATGAATTTTAATGTTTTCTGTACAGTTCCTTACAAGTTGCTTGCTAAGGTTTTTGCACTTTATATGATAAAAACTTAATGGATAATTATCAAATTGTTTTATTTTTTAACTTTCCTAAAAAGTGCAATAACAATTAAATTTTTAAATGAAATTAAAAAAAATCATAGAATAAATTTTATCTTCAACTTAATTAAAGCATTAATTTCAATTATCCACCCATCAATTTTAATTTCGATTCATCCTCTTTCAGTACAGAACTTAACACAATATTTAATACATTTCTCTTTTTACTCACACAAAATGATCTTCATTTCCAGTTGGTTTCAAAAATATTTCTGCTGATGTAACACCATCTATTTCACCGTCCATAACAAATATTTGACATGTTAAATTTAATTCATTAATTGCTTCCTTCACTAAATTATAAATATTTTTATCACAAAATATAAATTTAGGTTTTGTAATACGATACATATGAATAATTTCATCTAAAAATTAAAAAATCAATATTCAATGTGCAATATGATTTTCAAAATAAAAAATTTAAAAGAGCATACGTTTGTCAAATGATGGATCCAATGAATTAAGTTGTCCACCGCAATAAATAATACCAAAAATAATTGGTGCTAAATATTTTGTATTACTAGCTATAAAACCAATAACATCCTCTTGTTTAATACCATATCTCATGAAATTTTGTGCAACACGTATACTCATAATCCTTAAATCATGACCAGTAAATTGTGTTTCGGTATCATAACACACCTGTTTTAATAATATTAAATTATATTAATAAATTATATATGGGTATGTACATATATGTATATTATATATAAAATGTACATGCACACACTCACATAATATAGTATACTCGTATTGTCTATAATTATTTTTTGTTTATCGCACTCATATACTTACTTGCAATATTTTTTCACTATCATGCTTAAGCATATGCAATAAAAGTTGGCCTAAAGAAATATCCTCATTGATTAAAGGTTGATAATTTTTATCCCATAGGATATTATCATCCAATATTAAATTAAATTCATCAGTTAGTGTACTAATTGAACTATTTGAAAACATTATTGTAAATGATTGAATTTTCAAAAAGAGAAAAATTCTTTGCTTTTAATTAAAAAATTAAAATTTATTTTTATCAATTAATATTGCCGGATTAAATTGGGTACTCTTGTATGTTTGTATTCTGCAAAAGTTCAACTTATACTAATATAAAAAATGAATTTTTTCTATTTTAGGGTAAAAATAAAAATATTTTTTTTTTCTGTTCTTTGTTGGATGGTTTGCTGCTGTTTTCTTTTGTTTTTTTTTTTTTCCTTTAATTTTATTTTCGGTATTTTTATATTTACTCGTTTTTTTTTTTCATTATTATCTTATAAGCTTAAATGAAAAGCAGGAGGCATTCATGTATTTAACGATATCTTACACACATCATGTATGTTAATGTGTTGTATGTGTGCACGTATGTAGCGATAGTCTACTATTGTAGCTAGATTGCGTTATTTTGTTGTTATGTCGTTCTCCAATTTGAATGGTTAAAGAACTGAACTCTTCAATAAAAATTTGTGCGGTTATCAAAATGAAATACAAGTAAAAAATTTATACTTTTTTAAAATTATTATAATTTGAGACCAGTGTGTAATACACATAAGTATTATAATATATGTATATATTTGATATTATATTTACGATAAGCATTAAACAACACGAGGAATAATAATAAAGTAGAAAAAAAAAATTAATAGTTATTCCTGTTAATTATAAGTCGAAAAGTGGTAAAAGTTTTCTTATTTATTACCACAATTCATAAAGAAAGCATAATATTAATGTTAATTTAAATTATGCGGCTTATTCTGAGCATCGAATCATTAAGTTTCAAAAAATTTATTATAGACACGAATCATTTGTATGAATTGCCTAACGTTTACAATACCAATATCGAAGTTTTTACGATAATTTTTTTTTCTTTATCAATGATTTATATTTTACAAACGTAATTACAAAATTTATAAAATAAAAATTGAATAAATAATGTAAATGCATTTGTATAAAATATACTATAAAGTTGTTATGTATAAAAATATGTAATATGAGTTAACCCTTTCGTTCATGGTTGCTTATTTGGGCGACGTGGCACAGATCACAGTAAAAAATAATAATTTTATTTAGTTTTTTTGTTTTTTGCTCTCACAATATGAGTCATTTTATCTTGCTAAAAGAGCGTGTTTATTAATATTACTTAGTGATTCGATACTCAGAATTAGCTCCAATGAATAGGTTTGATTTAAATTGCATACATGCTCAACAGATTTGGAATCAAAAATTCAATTTATGTAATTTTGGCTATATTTTATTTTCTTTCGTCAAAAAATGATTGAGCATATAGATAAATAAATTCGCATACTTCAGTTTAATCGCAAATGATGAAAAAAGTTAAGAGTTTGCAATTACCGAGTTATTAAAAAATATAATATAAATATAATTTGCGTGTACATTACATACATATTTATACTTCAAAAAAATAACTTCAAAAATAATTTCAATATAGGTACCTTTTGTATTCTAATAAACGAAAACTGAAATTTATAATATGCTGAAAATTTCATTGTCATGGTGAATGATAACAGAGAAATTTTCTACATAAACTGTAAATAAAATAAAATCGGTAAAATATTTATGTACATAACAATATGTACATAAATACAATTTATGTGTATGTTCAAAACTCCATGGAAAAGTTTAAAACATGTGTGGATAAAAATTATAATAAAGAATTAATTATTTTTATTGAAAAAAAGAAATGAAGAAAAAAACAAAATTAATTAAAAATAAAAGTGAATTGAAATTTTAACAATAAATTGTCATACTAAAATCAATTGAATTTTTTTTTTCAAATTAATTTTGTCATTTCCTTTAATTTTGAATTGTTTTTGGCACAATTTTCAAACTCTAAAAAAATAACCATACAAAAATTTTATTAGAACTTTTTAAAATATTTTTGATTTTTGTAGTTTTGAAGATTCTTTATTGCTCAGAATCTAAAAACAAAAATTTGTTTTTTTTTTATTTTTTTACCCTATTTCTTGTATTAATATCGAATTCTGGAATGATTGTATGCTTACATTAAAATTATATACCGAATTCGAAGTTTACTAAAATAATACCCAAAATAACAATAAGAGAAAAAAAACAAGAAACAAAAATAAAAAATTCATAACAATTTTGTATGCAAATTTTAAGACTTGTTTTCTTCTTAAATAAAATATAAATAACAAAATTTCTGAGTACACATTTGTATGTACATAAGTAAGGTAAATCTATCTATTATCGGCATTACATTATGTTTGGCGTTAATTTTTCATTTCAGCAAGAGCCAATATACTAGAGGTCCCCAAACTTCAACCTCTCGTAGACCCTTGCCGTGTTTTTGAATTTTTGATAGACCCCCTTAATACTTATTTAATTAAATTCATATTTTTTTGTAGAATAGTAAATTCATATTTTTTCCCTGGCAGGTCTTAATGGACCCCTGGGGGTTCTATATAGACCACATTGGAAATCACTGTAATAGACGAATAGATATGCAATAATTAATATTTTGGGACAAAATGAACAAAACAAAGTTAATGTTATGCCAATACCTCCTATTATGCCATTACCTCCTATGTGTGTATAGTTACTAATAAAAAACTTGATTTTGAAAGAAAATATTAAAGAATAAGCTGTCAGAAACAAACCTTAATTTAAGTTTTACTTATGAACGAAGCGTTTCAAGTAATTTTAATTTAAAAGAAATTGAATTGAATGAATTTGAATAGAAGTAATTATAGTTTATCAAGCATAAGTTAATATAGTTTATATAGCAGAAGTTAATTGCCTAACTCGGAAAAAATTTAATTTCTTAATTGAATTCGATAGCTACTTATACAATAGCTTTCTTTTAACTCTGTAATGAACCTTTTTTTGTACAATTCTGTAGAACAAATAGATTTTTATTAAAAACAAAACTGCCTGTTTTGAATATTTAATTTTAATTGAAAATTTATGCCGGTAATAGGTAACATGCCGGTAATAGGGAATTTTACTTTATGTACTTGATATTACATTTGATAATAGGTATTTATTTGTATTTCCATATGTATATACATATAATATTAATGGTGATAATATACTAATATATGGTAATTTATATAAGTGATTTGATAAATTTAAAGATGAGCTAGTCTAAAAATAATGTTTTTTTAATGTTATAATTTTGAAGCCGACTTACAATACATATATATGTATATGTATGTATGTAAATAAAGTACATAAGTATGTATACACAGAATTGACATATTAATATTGTATTATTTTATTATGCTATGTAGTATCTTTTTATTTAAATATATAATTAAAATATTGTTCATAAATTTTTTGTAAATAAACAAATGAGTGACTTTGCTTTGCTGAACGTCGCTGATTCTCATTTAAAAAAAAAATGTTTTTTTTTTTTTTTAATAAGAATCGGGGACAATAAATTAGAAGGTGTGCGTTAAATAAACTATGGTCATCAATTTTAAACTAGGCATGTACGTAGGCATTAATTAATCTAATGTTCTAGATTGTTTATTATACATGCTTATGTACAGTACCTAAAGTCACTTATTTTTTAATTTATGATATAATTATTAATGTGTATAATTTACATTTGTATGCAAGTGAAATTAGGGTTTAATACGAAACATGTGCGTTTTCGTTTTTAATAATTAAAAATAAAATTTCTTTGTGAAATTTTATTTTTCACAATGTAGTGAAATCACGTAATATAAAGATTACCTATGTACATACTTTAGTAGAAATTTTTATATATAGAATATGTATATACTTATGTCTGTATATCGCACATTTGCGAGAACAATAACGTATGTAAGTCAAAATGCAGAGTCGCAACTTCCTTTTATTACTATTATATTTTAATATAACGTACAAAACTTTTGTGTAACAAAATAATAAAGAAAATTTGTTCACATACTTGCAGAATAGTTCTACACCAACTTTTTTAGCTTTCGATGGTAAGTCGAAGTTATATTTTTGAGTTTTGCGTTATTCTTTCCAATGTACAATATGCTCTTAAAGTCCCTATACCAAAAATTTCATTAATTCCTCTTATTAATTTATTCTATAGAACTTAAAACTTTATCACAATTATAATAATATGTAGTGTCGGATTTAGATATTTACATGCATACGTATGAATTTGTATTATAGACTAAAAACTAGGGTACTGAATGTGCAAAAAGTAATCATAAATAATGCAAAATTTTAGCAAAAGTGAGCAAAAATTAAATATAATTGTAATAGATGCACTTAACAATATAACTTTCCTTATCATAAATTTTTACCATTATACAATTTATGAATTAAAATATGTAAGTGAGTAACTAAGTAAATATTTAATACATACATATATGTATATACATATGTATGTAAGTATTTCATCGACTCTAAAAATTTTATTAGCTTAGGGCCTTTGCCTCATGTACGCAATATATGTATGTATTTGATTCAGATTTTATTAAACGAAATAAACTTTTATTATACACATTATTTTTTACGGCTTATACCTATATGTAGATATCTTATATATGTATATCCAAATGTAACCCTATATATAATAAATTAACTAATAACTACTGTAATGTACCTACATACATACATACATGTACATGCGTATGCACATATGTATTTATAATAAACTTTTACAAAATATCGATGAATACAATTAAGTAACTATACAAATTTCTAAATACTGCATACATAATATGCACATGTAGGTATATACATACACAAATGACTTTCATTTTCAATTTTATAAATTTCAATCCCTGTAAAATTCTTTTATATTTTTATTTTATTTTTCAATCATACAGATTACACTGATATACAAAAAATATGAAGGTTTCTATTTTTTATAATTTGGTTTATAACACTTCTAAATATTTTGTTGTTTGATGAATGAAGAATATCGTTATGCAAATTGAGTAGCGGTACCATATTTTTGAGCTATTGCAAATATTAGATTTTATTTTGTTACACTTTTATAATTTCATTTTGAAATATTGTCAAAATTCTATTTTAATTAATTTTTTCAAAGGCTACTTTAAACTCTTCAACCTGCTTCTAATTCTTTGGTGATTTTCAGCGTTTTTTACTCCAGTCTAATAGTTCATTTGAAACTTGCAGTATTTCAAAGGCTATTTTAAACTCTTCAACTTGCTTCTAATTCTTTTGTGATTTTCACCGCTTTCTACTCCAGTAAAATAGTTCATTTGAAACTTGCTGCATTACAATAATTATAAGCTTAATTCCAACACTTCAATAGGTGCAATTAACCCCCTCTGAAATATCTCAATTTTAGTATAAGCAATAATAATATGTACCTTCCTTTATAAAGAATTCTATAAATTACAAAATATTTTGATATTATGTACATATTGACATATATATTTCAGTATTGTGTAGGTATACGTTTATGGAATTAGATACTCACACTTTCAAGAAAATGCAAATCTGGCATATTATTAAGATTTTTAAGGATAAGCCACTATAAGGTTTTTGTTAAATATCCACAGGGATAAGTAATTGTAAATTTTTGGTTTGCTACCGTCAAAACCCCGAAAAAAATGTATGGCCTGTTTAAACTAAAATTTAAAAATTTTAATCTAAAATAAAATTATGAAAATCGTTAATTAATAATGTTGTGGAACACTTAAAGGAAATAAATACTCTTTGAGTATTGAGGAATCACTACAAATCTACCCTGATTTTTTTTTATTTCAAAAACATTTTCTATACTAGTTTTCATCTCTTTTAAACTTATTTGGGAACGCTTGAGTGTCAATTATGAATTAATTGACTTTTTTGTCTTTATAGTTTTTTAGCACCAAAGTTTTCCACAATTCACTTTAATTAAACTTCAAATTTTAAATTGAAAAATATTTTGTATTAACAGGATCAATTAATTGTTGTAAGTAAATTTTTATTTTAAACATTGTTAATTTAATTTTATTACACAATTTTTTAATTTCTTCTACATAAATATTACAAAATCAAATGTACTCGTATGTTATTTATTTAGTTAGAATGCTTAAGTTTTTCCATAGCACAATTTCTAAGTGATATTTTGTCAACTTTTCCACAACTTGTGTAAGGATATTCATCTCTGAAGAATATTTCCGTTGGTGGAATTTGATCTTTTGGCAAATGCGTATCTAAATATGATATTATATCCTGTTTTGCCTGATCTAAATTCAATTTAGATTCCTGTAAATTGATTTTATTGATTTTACAAAATGCAATAGGAATTTCTCCTCTTTTTGGGTCTTCATGTGGGATACCAACAATATAACTAGCATCTAATAGTGGATGGGATTCCATTTCAGCTTCTATTAAACTTGGAATTATCTAGATTTATTGATAATAAATGATGTTATATAATATAAATATATATATATGTATGCATGTTTACATTCAATTCTTACATAATTTCCATCGAGTTTGATTAAATCTTTAAATCTATTGTAAATATGAAGTTGATTATTTTCATCAACTTTACCATAATCACCGGTTATTAACCAACCATTTGAAAAAGAATTTCGATTTGCCTCATCACTTTTCCAATATGATCCAAATTTTGTACTAGTTTTAACACAAATTAAACCATTTTGATTGTAATCCAATGATTGACCATCTTCATTTGTAATTTTTAATTCAAATCCAGGTAAAATAAAAGAACCACCTTTCATATTTGTTCCAATATTATTACTTATACAACCAGCAAGTTCAGTCATTCCATAGCATTGTATAACAATACAATTGGAATTAAGGCTTGCAATATTTTGTAAAATTCTTGTTGATATTCTCTCACCACCTGTTAATATTGCCTGTAAACTTTTAATATGATCTTTTCGTTGATTAATTGCATAATCAAGAACTTGTTTCATTAAAGTTGCTACACTAAAGAAATGTGTAACTTCATATTTTTGAATAGCTTCAGCACAAAACTGTGGTGATGGTGGTAGTGTACTATATACTCTTGTGCATTGCTGTAAAATTGGTTGAAGAATTGCAGAAATTTGTGATACCCAGCGCATAGGGCTAGCAACATAAACTCTATGGGTATAATCAACATTCCTAAAAAAATGGTGTTGTACTAATGTAAATTTTTTGTCTAATTTGAATATTTTTTTAACTTTTACCAATAGGTAGTAGCTCCTTGTCCCAAATATGTTTGAGAATGAGCCATTAATTTAGGTTTACCGGTTGTACCAGAAGTTAAAACAAATGCAGATAAAACTTCTTGAGGATCTCCTAGATTTGGTGCACGAAAATTTTCAATATCCTCTATTGAATTTTCAGGTTCATATAATTTTTGAAGAACTGAATTTCCATTATTTCTTGATTCAAATGACAAAAAATATTTTAAATTTTTATATTCGAAATTATTTATGATTCCAGTTAATTTATCATGATAAACACTATCATATACTATTACAGTTGGATTAACTAATTCAAATACATGTTCAATAATATCTTAAAATTGAAAAAATTATTTGTTAATTAATTGAAAACTCGAATTGGACAGTAAAAGAAAAATAACATTTTTTAAATATTAATTACCGTTTGTATATAGAATTTCAAGTGGAACAAATATTGAACCGATAATGATACAAGCATAAATTAATGGTGTTGTAAATGGATTCATTGATGAAAAAAATACAACAACATCACCCTTCTTTATTCCAAGTTTTTGAAGATTTAATGCAAAATTAATTGTTAAATTTTTCATTTCTGAAGCATTTGTTCTAATTTCACTATCTATATTTATTTCAATTATTTTCTCTGAATTATATTCACTTAATTGCTTTAAAATAATTTCACCTAAATTAATCTTTTTAACATTTTCATTTATTGGTGTTAAATTTTTCCAAATTTTAGAATTAAAATCATAAAAAATTGGATTCTCCATTGCAAATTTTATGGAAAAAATAATCCGATCACAGTTATATTTTGGCCGATATCGTTTAAATCATAAAATCCACTAACTTATATACCTTAAATTAGTATGAATTAAATATATAACTTTTAAGAATTTCAAATATGTAATAAAATATAAAAGTTTATTTCACTATTATTTATAAGCTTTGATTAAAACTGAATTATATTTTTATTACAACAATAATAATATGTTTACTAACACATTATAACTAAGAAATCACTATATGTACTTATAAAATAGAAATGAATTATCTTGTACTAAAATTAGATCTACTTACGTATTTATATAAGTAAACAATATGAATAGGAAACTTAATGCTCAAAAAAGCCATCTCACTAAATTCATTACGTATAGTATTTCATTTGATACCCTGAATCTATTAAAATAATATTATTACCTTTGCAGTATTGTATAGTTATGTATAATTTCTGAAGTTTATTAAGTTTTTCTTCATGCCCAACGATAACATCGGTGATTCCATACTTTTTGTTATCTTTATTTTGATTAAATTTGTTTGTAATTTTTCCACTGTTATTGTCGAGCTTTGGAGGCAAAGGGTCAAGCAATTGTAAATACATACATCATCAAAAATAAATAGCATACTTATTTAAAAAATAGAACAGAAATTTTAATAAAAATGAACATACAAATAAAAGCACAAATCATATTTCATTATAATTAATTCGAGTTTCGTTTAAAGGCTTTTTTAAATTATCATATTTTTAAGTAGGTTAATAAATTATTGCAAATCATCAATGAGAGCAAAATTTAATTTTCTTTTTACATTAATAGAATTTATTATTTTTATTTTTTATTGATAATTTTATATAGGATGTTATACCTAGCAGTATTATGATGTTATAAATCAAGGAATACTTAAAGAAAGTAAAGTTGAATTTACTAACAGAGCTTACTTCAAATAGGCTGATAAATCATTTAGAAATTTATAGAAAAACTGTTTTCATTCTGAACTAAAAATATAAATACAAAGTAAATTTAATATAATTTAAAAATTCGCAAGAATGAATTAAAATACACGATTTTTATAAAGTACAAATTTTATTTTAATTCATTAAACCTTTATTTTGATTTATCCATATGTCAAATTTAATTTTAATTTCGTCGTACTTATTATATGCAAATTTTTATTATTTTATTACTTAAAGTTTTAAAAAAGTTTTTCACTTTAAACCCATATTTTTACGTTTTTTCTTTTTTTTCTTTTTAAGACTTGAATCTTTCTTTGAAGTATTCATTTCAATTATACCATTATTATTGTTCTTTAATTTTTTTACAATTGGCTTTTCATTGTCAGAAGTATCACTTACAGAATAAATTGTGTCATCACCTTCAATATTACATGAATCATTCTCACTTACGTTTTCAGCAATATCTTCTTTTCTTATTCTAACAAATTTTCCAGGTTCTTCATCTTGATCTTCTATATTTTCGTCAATTTGATTGGATGTATTTTCTACATCATGGGTTTTTATACTTTCACTATTTACATTTTCAACATTTTCTAAATTTTGAACTTTTATAGTTTCCTCAAGTTCCATTTGATTTTCATTTTCAATTTCTATTGGAATTGTGCTACTGATATTTTTTTGGTTTGTATCTTCATTTATTATATTCACATTAGAATGTTCGTCATTTTGATTTCTGTCTTCCCTATAATGTATGCCATGTTTAATAAATCTACCTGCTGCTTCTTTATCTACAGTTGGACGTAAAGTTTTACTTTCATAAACTTGTTTGTTACGTATCATCGCTTGTCGTACTCTTGAAATTTCATTTTTTATCCCATGCTAAAATATTAAAATAATGGTAATTTAATATGCTGCAAAACATACTTACATATAATATAACATTTTAGGTAATTATAAATATTGGTTCGTGGTAACATAATATTATAGCACATAAACTTACTTCATTTGGATCCATTCCTTGCAACTTTACATACATCCAATATAGAGAATTCATGGTATATGATAAAAATAAGTCGAACTTTACCTTTTCTTCAGTCGTTAATTTATCATAATGCCGAAATTCAATACATTTTGTGACCTCTTCATCAATTTGTTTGATGGAGTTAGCAAAATTTGTTACATTTTCCACGAAATTTTTGTCATCTTTTAATTCACCGAAATCCATGTTTGCTTTTATTTTAAAATCTTAATATACCATAATATTTGACTTATCAAAATTTGCTAATAAAATTGAAAAAATTAATTATACTTCAAGTTAAGTACAGGCAATGAAAATAATATTAAAAAAAAAAAACTCAAAATCTGAAAGCATGGTTATTATATTATTTTGTTATGAATGTCAAAATGACAGCTTATATATGAATTTTTCTAAATTTTTCTTGCGCTATCTGTCGTTTTATATTGAAAATATAGTGAAAAGATAAAACCTTTTCGACATTTTTACGATAAACACGTACATTTTCACATTACATTTTATCTTATACATTTTTTTTTATTAAAAATTTTAGAATTTTTTGTGCATTCCTTTTAATTAGACAAAAATTTCCTTTTAAAAAATAACAAGAAATACGAAAAAATTATTAAGAAAATTTTGATAAATTTTGTCCTCAAATTCTTTTGAGTTTATTCTTTATTTAGTTTGACTTTACGTTAAAAGATGTCACTATTATTGATATATGGAATATTTTCATTTCAGCAGAAGAGAAGAGTTTGTCGGTAATTGATAACCTCGTATAGTTTGTTTAAGATTAAATGAAGGATTTTAATTTAGATTTTTTAGAAATCAAAAATTTATAAATCTCAAAAATTAATTTGTGAAATGCAATGTATAAGAAACTAAAATTTACATTTAATTGTAAATTTGATTTTTTTTAAACAAAAGAACTGTTTCGAAAATACATTTGGGGCAATTTACAATTAAAATTTGATCATAATTTTTAAATTTTCATATTTTGTTATGGTTATCTGCAATAATTTGTAAGGTAGCATTGCAATTAATTATAATGGTGCAATTAATCGATTCTGTATTTAATTCAAAATGGAAATGGTATTTTGAATGATTTAGAGTCAGTAGAATAGATCCAAATTGACGAAAACCAAAACTTGATTTAAGAACAAAACAATTACATATTTTCTTTCACAACTCTCTTCATAAATTAAAATTTTCAAGCCCATAATTATGAAATTTGCGAGCGGTTTTTTTTAAATGTAGAAGTGCGAAAATAAACATTTTCGACAAAAAAGTTTAATTTCGAAAATTCCATCATTTAGATTCTTTTAGATTGTTATTCAAAAAAACTTATGTGCAGTATATTGTTATTATACTATTAATATGCTATTACAAAAAACAATATTAAAAATAGGGCTAGATTCCGATGGTACCATAAATCGCGAATGGCTCGGGTGGCTATGGAGTAGGTGTCTTCTTGCCCTATTCGGTTCGCTTTAAAAATTTTAATCTTTTTCCGAATTCTAATCCCGAAATTTCAAACTCTAGTTTGAAAATTAATGTAGCTTTTAAATGTAAGTTGAATTAGTTGATCTTATGTAATGAAAATACAAACGTTTTTAGCAGGACATATCGTCCCTACATAGCCAATCTAAAAACTCTGCGTCAATTATCTTAATCTAACATACCTAAACAATATTCGTGAACATTATATAGATTTTTCATTATATGAAAGTCTCGTGTTACGTACCTATCCAAAAACTAAACTGAAATTATCACCTTTTCTATGAAAGGATAGACACAGATGCCTTAAATAATAAGGTATGTCATTTGGTTTTCATAATATCTCAAAACCACAATTTTGCTGATTCGTAGGTTTCCCGTTATGGATACGATATTAAATTATTAAATACATTTTAAAGTGATTTTATCCTTTTTTCTCTGATTTATTAATGTTTTGTCTATTTTATCAATACCCTAATCAGTTAATGAATTAATGCTGCCCCTTAGTATTCATTTAATATACTAAAACTGGTAGTAGACGTCAAATATTTTATTTTAATGTCTCTTTTATAGTTTTATTTATTTTTATTTCCAAATGTAGGTATTCTGTATTAGCATGCTTAGCTAAAGGTTTCGCTTCTTCACAAATTTAGATTTCATTCTACATATGCATTCATAATGGTACATACATACATAACATGTATTGTATGTCTTGTTCGTGTGATGATTTATAATATTAAATTACATTGTATAAATCATAACAAATTAAAAAAGGAAAAGTAATTTTTGTTAAAATTCGTGTTCAGGGTTTAAAAATTAAAATTATATAAGAAATTTTTTCGAATTTTCTAAATTTACTTTTCACATTTCATTTCCTTTTTTTTTCATATAAGATTTTTGCAAAATATATTTTTCATATCACTCACTAACTGAGATTAAAAAAAAAATGGAAAATTATGAAACTTGTTTTTATTTTGAATGAAATATGAAAAAAAAAAATTAATTTAATATTATTTTTTTTTTGGGTTTATATAATGGATTTTGTTATATTTATGGATAACATATGTATGTATGTATGTAATATGTATATTGGAACGGAAACTATGAAATATATTAAACGCATTCATTTCATGTCAAGATCCTTTAAATCACTTTAACATCTTTATGTTATTATTTTTAGCCGTACACATACATACATATATGCATATTTTTAAAATAAATGGTACAATAACGGGGATGATGAAATATATTATTTTTTGAGCACTTATTTATTTTAGAAATTATATAATATGTATGTACATACATATATAAATATGTAAAAAAATTCAGCCACTACATACGAGTTTGTACACGGGTTTGAATTATGTATGCAATCCATATAAAGTCCTTTCTAATTTATATTAAAAAAAATTATTAAAAATGTTATCGTAAATTTATGTTAACGTTTTGTTATACATGAAAAGTATGTGAATGTTGCTTCTGATAGTAAGAATATAGACATAAATTAATGTTATTGGGTTGTTCTCTACTCCTTTGTTACACCAAATATTTGTTATCTTCAATATATTAACAAAATGGTAAAATATTGAGCATTTCAGAAGTGAGAAAATGTCGAAATTCTATAATATATTTACTAAATAATTTTCACTTGCCCATGTCTAGTACAATTTTAAATAAAAAATTTATCGAAATTTGGAAAGTTTATGGAGTACATATTTGATGAAAATTTTCTAGAATGCTAAGCAACTTGTATAAATAATTTGACTAGTGGTATGACTCCGGAAAAATACTCCTCGAACAGATTTTCCTTTCATTATTGCAATAGTCATTAACTACAGAATATTCTTATCAGTCTTTTAGAAGTCGACCAAAATTCCTCAACAAAACTCATGAATAATATTCTTACATTTTTTTGATCCTACGATAGAGATGAACAAATTTTATTTTCATAATTTTTAATATTATCTTATGTCGTATACGATATTATAAATAGAAGATTTCCAAACTATTTCAAAAGAAGTAAAAAATTTGAGAAAAAAGAAAACGAAATAGAAAATATTAAATGAGAACAGGAAAGATAAAATTTATTATTTTTTTATCCATTTCCGGTTTAATAACACATTTCTCGTTATTTTATTCTTTTTGACTGACACAATTTGATCTAGTATATGGTATTTTTGTAACGTCCTATAATAAGTAATTTGCTAATATTTTACTAAATTTAATTTCTGCCCATCCATCCTAGTTTATATGTCACTTAAAATAAGTGTATGTGAAAATACAAACAGGCTGTCAGCAATTTATTTAATGGCACGTGACTACGAGTATTTACAAAAAATAACAAATAAACAAGAAAAGAACAGAAAAATATTAAATGCATGGCAATTTTCGTCCTTTCTTTTTTTTTCATATTTTTAATCTGGAAGAAGGTCGTGTCCCTTATAGAATGAGGAGTAGGTTTGTTATGAATGTTACACAATACAGTTATGAATTAGAATCGTATAAGTTTTTGTACGGGAGATTTCTTATAAACTGTCAGTAACACATGGAACTTGTTAGTTTTAGTTAAAATTTTAAATCTTATATAGATAAGATTCGAACTTGAGAGTTTTTAATTAATAAGATTTTAAAAAATTAAGATTGACATTAACAATATGTTTTTTTTTATGTAATATGTAGATGAATAATTCGAATTTTTCAAAGATGACAACTACAATATTCGATTAATTTTTTTTATTATTTTGGCCAACCTAGTCTGAAGTTCACAAGATTTGATTTGTCTGTTATTTTCGTTATTTAAATATCAATTTGACTAACATTAATATTTCACTTATTGAAATTTTGCTGTAGCAGTTACTTTTAGCTATAAAAATTTTTTGATAAACAGTCGAAAACAAATACCTGTCCTATATATCGGATAATACTCGTATATTATATTGAAGTTATACAACATGGATGTGCTACCGATTTGAATACTTGCACACAGAGATGTGAACGGGAATGAGCGAACGGAAGGCACTTGTGAAAAGATGTACGGAGCTGTTCCAAGTGACGGATTGCAATATTCTCCCTTCACTTCAAAATATAAGCCGGGGTTTTGCGACGAGATGTTTGCATTCTCCAAAATTTCTAACTCGATTTAGACAGATAATAGTTGGCAATCATAAAATTAATTAAATGGTTGCAGTCAACGAAATAATTATAAAAGTCTCCTTTCTATATGCTATATGTATCAAAATAGTCTTCACATTTTCGGCAATTTAACGTATTTTTGTGGAGACTTTTTTAAGAGAAATTTTTATCTAAATAAAGTCTCCATAATTTTACAATTTAGTGTCAAACCTGTTTTATTTTTACTTTATGCATATACATATATAAAATAAATCTCCCAAATTTTTTATGTAGGAGAAAATTTCAAATTTTTCAGAGAATTACCCTATCCAAATATCCAAAATATAAGATATCATTAAGCTCTCAAAGAAATTTTATTATCTAAATAAAATGTTTACAATAAATAAAAGACGTCATTTATTATTTTAATATAGAGATCTTGTTATATAAGAAAATATGGTGTGAATTTGACATTTAGATGAAATTTTTAGATTTTTATTCTAATACAAGAAATTTAATTTTTGGGTTAGATAAGTGAAAGAGACAAAAAACAAAACAAATGTGCGATGGGATGTCAAGTTTATTAAGAAGTTCTCTATTTTGTTCATAAATTTTCTTATATTTTTTTGTTCATTTATTAACAACACATACACCTACATATTTGCAATATACTAATGAACTCTTATACAAACTAATAAATTGCCTAAAAGTTTGTAGGAAATG